GGGAGTATGGTGGGATGGGGATTGTAGGAAGAAGAGGGAGAAGGTAGAAAAGTTATTAAGAGACTGGAAAAGAGGAAGAAAACACAAAGATCATAAAAGAAGAAAGAAGGAGTATAAGGAAATGTGTGAGAAAAAATGAAGAAAAAAGAGAAATTTGCTGAAAGAGGCAAGAGAGGCGAGAACAGAGAAGCAGGTGTGAGAAGTAATAAACAAGGAAAGGAGAAAAAAGGTAGAAATTAATAAGGAGATAACATTAGAGGAGTGGGATAAATACTTTAGGGAGATGTTAGAAGGAGCGGAATACAAACGAAGGCTAGGAGAAGGAGAGGAGGGAGAGCAGGGGTTGGAGGGGGAAGTGGAGAAAGAGAAGAAGATAGAATGGGAGGAAGTAGAGAGAGTGCTGAAAGGGCTGAAAAAAGGTAAAACGGCGGGAGAGGACGAGATAGGAAATGAAGTGTGGAGTTATGGGGGAAGTGGTTTAAGAAAAACGTTATGGGAGAGTATGGAAAAGAGAGTGTTTTCCAGAAGCGTGAAAGGACGGAGTAGTCGTTCCGATAGCGAAAAAAAGAGGCAAAAGAGGTGAGTGAGCATAGAGGGATTACGCTGATGCCGACGGCGTACAAAGTGTACGCGTCGATATTAGCAAATAGGTTGAGGAAAGAGATAGTGGAGAAGGGGATGATTTCAGAAAACCAAGCAGAGTTTAGGAAGAGGAGAGGAGTGGTGGACAACATTTACACACTGAATTATGCGATAAGAAAGCGATTAAAGAGGAAAAAGAAGGTAGTGGCTGCTTTTGTAGATCCAAGGGCGGCATTTGATTTAGTGGACAGGAGGGTTTTGGGAAGATGTCTGGAAAAACCAGGGGTGAGTGAAAGGTTGGGAAAGAGGATCATGGAAATATACGAGTAAACAAGGAGTGTAGTGAGGGTGGAGGAAAGATACGGAAGGAAATTTTGGACTGCAAGAGGGGTAAACGGAAAAATTAACAGAGCCGATCAGGATTTAAACTCGAAACCTTTTGTTTTCTACCTTCGTAGTCTGTTACTGTGTGTTGCTTCACAATTGTTTTACCCCACGTAGCAAAATGTTGGCAGTATGCCGACAGCATGCCAGTAAATTTATCTCATAATTTCGCAGCAAGATCTTCTTGTGCTGTGTTTTTTATTCCATTCTATTTGATTTTTACTACCTTATAATCTGTTTTATCAATAAGTATGCCAGTTTACGTTGCATCTCAACTTTATATTTAAATATAAAACTGCATTATATATATATGAGAAAAATAAAAAAAAAATTTAAATAGTTTTAGGACGTTACACAAACATGTAAAATAATCTAATATTATCAATAATATATATTTATTATTATTTAACTGTACAATTAGTAAAAGAGATTTGGGTAAATTTTATTTTTAATAATTGCTTTTGAATAATTCGTTTTTAGCAGATTTTATATATAAAAATCAATAAATGTATAAAGTAAAGGTTTTTACGTCTTTAATTATATAAGTAAATTATGTCCTCATCAGCATTAATAAAGTGCGGTGTTTAATTTTCGAGAAATAAGAAGGCATCGCTTTAGAGGACCTATGTCGATATTAGCGACTTACCTCTTCACTTCTAATAAAAATATAAAAAATGTATGGTTGTATATTCGTGAAACAAAATAAATGCGCGCGCGTAGCGCGCGCCTGTGTTGTTCCATTCGTGAAATAAAATAAAAGCGCGCGCGTAGCGCGCGCCTGTGTTGTTCTAGTCTATAATAAAAAAATCCATGGAGACGCGAGAAGTTGTTGTTTGGAGTCGAATATCTCGCACGTAGTGTTGCCGCTTTTCCGCGTGCGTGATTGGCCGGTCGAAGCCGGGTGTGATCGCGGGAGATCGCGGCGAGCTTCGTGCGTGTGTGTCGTGAGTGTCGTGAAATTGTGATGTGACAGTTCGCGTCGTGTCGTTAGGAGGTTAATAATAATATTATAGAGTGCGAAGGGTTGATGATGATGATTAACGGCGAACTGGTAAAAGTAGATCAATTTCGGAGAGAAGAAATAATAAATTGCACATGTGGTTTTATGGAAGAGGACGGTTTAATGATCTCTGTCTCTGTTGGCAACATGGACATTGTAATTTTATTGAAAAGGAAAAGGATGTTTCTGAGAAATATACATTTGTTACATATGTCAAAATCCATATCGACTACGGCCGTCTAAGAAATATTATCACGATCAGGACTGGATTATGGAAGGAAAATTGTCAAGGTAATTTATTTATTAATATATTTACGTTTATATATTTAGATTGTGCGTGTGGTTATAATTATTTATATATAGTAATCTGTTTATATGTTATTTATTGATTTTTTAATTTGCAGCTTGTCTAACCTAACTCGAAATCAGTATAAGATAAATCAAAGGATTGCAATGTTGAAGCGTTCTTATGACTTGGTTGCTGCACTTTTACAAATTCAACAACTTCTTCATAGTCTGTGCGTAAAAATCAACGTGGCACATTAAGTTATAAAGTTATATACGTCTGCCTTCTCGGAAAAGTTTTTTTGTCTGCATTATAACGACTAATTATGGAAGAAGACGGTTTAATGATCTCTGTCTCTGCTGGCAACATGGACATTGTAATTTTATTGAAAAGGAAAAGGATATTTCTGAGAAATATACATTTGTTACATATGTCAAAATCCATATCGACTACGGCCGTCTAAGAAATATTATTACGATCAGGACTGGATTATGGAAGGAAAATTTTCAAGGTAATTTATTTATTAATATATTTACATTTATATTTAGGTTGTGCGTGTGGTTATAATTATTTATATATAGTAATCTGTTTATATGTTATTTATTGATTTTTTAATTTGCAGCTTGTCTAACCTAACTTGAAATCAGTATAAGATAAATCAAAGGATTGCAATGTTGAAGCGTTCTTATGACTTGGTTGCTGCACTTTTACAAATTCAACATCTTCTTCATAGTCTGTGCGTAAAAATCAACGTGGCACATTAAGTTATAAAGTTATATACGTCTGCCTTCTTGGAAAAGTTTTTTTGTCTGCATTATAACGACTAATTATGGAAGAGGACGGTTTAATGATCTCTGTCTCTGCTGGCAACATGGACATTGTAATTTTATTGAAAAGGAAAAAGATGTTTCTGAGAAATATACATTTGTTACATATGTCAAAATCCATATCGACTACGGCCGTCTAAGAAATATTATTACGATCAGGACTGGATTATGGAAGGAAAATTGTCAAGGTAATTTATTTATTAATATATTTACATTTATATTTAGATTGTGCGTGTGGTTATAATTATTTATATATAGTAATCTGTTTATATGTTATTTATTGATTTTTTAATTTGCAGCTTGTCTAACCAAACTCAAAATCAGTATTAGATAAATCAAAGGATTGCAATGTTGAAACGTTCTTATGACTTGGTTGCTGCACTTTTACAAATTCAACAACTTCTTCATAGTCTGTGCGTAAAAATCAACGTGGCACATTAAGTTATAAAGTTATATACGTCTGCCTTCTTGGAAAAGTTTTTTTTGTCTGCATTATAACGACTAATTATGGAAGAGGACGGTTTAATGATCTCTGTCTCTGCTGGCAACATGGACATTGTGATTTTATTGAAAAAGGAAAAGGATGTTCTTGAATGTGGAACGCTTCCACATTGACATATGTAACTGCAAACGTATGTAGTATTTCTTGTGACATGCTATACGTTATCAAAGATAAAGCATTAAAAATTGATGACTACGATTGTTTCATACAACATTTCTTATGGTTTACGGAGAACATCATGTTGTTCTCTATAGTTACAACCATAATCTCTTGTGTGTTTTATCTCTAAATGGTATGTATTCTAAAGATTGTCTGAAAATAAGGTATGTGGTATTCCAGAATCATTAGATTTGTATAAAAATAATATCTGTCTAAATTTGAATCTTTTTACAGGAAACTTTATGTTTTGGTTATCCAGTAGAACATGTAGTTTCTTCTCCCGATGCAAATACAGCTTACATAAAAATAAGAGATTAAATATTTAAATACACAAGAAACGGAAAACTTGAACAGACAAATATAACGTTAAACGAACAGTGTGATCAAATAGAAGTTATACGAATTGATATCAAGAGATATTATCCTTGCTCTGTCTTCTGGAAAATAGTTTCTTGGTCGACGGAAAAGAAATTGCTAAGAATATTACAAGTTTTTACGTACATTCTGATTTTTTGTTTCTTACGACACTGCAATGTACATTGATTTGTGTCTTATTGAACGAAGTTAATATAAAGCAGCTAAATGAACGTGATTTAACTAACCAGCTCTCAGGGATTTAAATATGAACGAGATTTTATTTGCGGGTAAATACATACTTTTTATAATCTTTTTTTTTTGTATATAGCATATTTTTCTGACTTTAAATATATCGTTACAGATACATCAGGTACCTACATCAGACGACTCGAAAAAGGTTCTCGTATAATAACGGCGATACCGTACGACTCAAAAATAATTTTATAGCTGCCTAGAGGAAATTTAGAATGTATACAGCCAAGGGCATTATCGGTGCATATAGTAAAATGTTACCTGAATAACTGTGATTATTTGGCGGCACTTGCTATAATGACTAAACAACGTATAAACTTGAATTTATCATACGACCACGATCCACAATTATTTCTGGATAATATGAAAAAGTTCCTAGAAGATCTTGTACAGCATAAGAAGTTAAATTGGTTGAATCTGTTTTTGTCAGAATTACAAAATGTCGATGTCACCCGTACAATGTACGCGTTTTGTTATGTGGATCGCCCGGTCAAATCTGACACTAGAAGTAACAAAATACAATTAATAAGGTAGACGAGATCTGTAAATTATTAAGAGATGCCATGGAGAAATATCAAGTTGCGGATAACTTAATACAACCAATATTGATAAGCTTGGTGAAAAATTAACAAAGACAAGGATTGGGAAAATACACTCAGTAAAATAAAGCGAGTGAAAATGTTGGAGGATTCACAGAGATCCGAGTTACATGATCCTACCGTATCCACTTATGAAGCGTTAAAGTGTTCACTGCATTTCGTCACTATCGATACGTTATATGATGTTTCATTAGGCATGTATGATTTAGAACTCGCAATGTTTATAGCTTTTGAATCATCGAAAGAAGATCCCAAAGAATATATTCCATTCTTGAATAATTTGAAAAAATTGGACCCAAATTACATGAAGTATTCTATTAATATGCATCTTAAACGTTACGAATTAGCGTTAAAATATTTGTCTAAAGATTCAACTAACAATAAGTTTGAGGAATGATTAAATTTGATACGTAGTCATAAATTATACCAGGCGGCAATAAAATTGTTTGAGAAGAATACTATAGAGTATAAAAAGGTGGCTGAAGTTTATGGAGAATTTTTGTCAAGTGAAGGAAAATATGTGGAAGCTGGTTTTATAGAAGTGGCGATCTTGACAAAAAGTTGTAGAAACATTTAGAATGTTAAATGATAATTGGGAGGATATAATCGCAATATCAAAAGAGATGAAACTACGGTAAAGATATACAATTTTTTTTCGTATATGCATGAAAGAATATTATCCTATCATCGTTAGAATTAATTACATATGCTTCTATACACATATATATATATATATACCTTAGAAAAATAAACACGATCGTATTGCATATTTCCAAAATCTCCCCTCATATAATAGCGCAACTGCTTCTTCAGCATCATTTAGATATTCTTTTAATACTATAGCTGCATGTTTATATTTCCGCTCTGCTTTCAAACGTTCAACCAGTGTCTTATAAAGTTTGTATGAATTTGCTGGGCTGAAAAAATTAATTCTTATACCTTTATTTATATAGGTATACCTATATACCTTTTTTTAAAAGAAATTAATCTTTCTTAACTATATAGATAAAAAAGATAGTAGAAATAGAGTTTATGCTTTCTTTAAAGCAGAAAATAATTGGTACATTGAAAAGTTTACATAAATACAAAGTATAATAATAGCATATAATTGAAGTAAAGCCCTTTGCACATTAGGCGATAGTGACAACGATAAAATTGCCGACACAGCTATACCTTTGTTGGCAACTTTGTCGCTGTCACTATCATCATCGCTATCGCCTATTGTGCAAGGCGTCAGACTATTATAGGACAGGTTGCCGAACTCGATCGGCGTCGGTAAAGAAGACCGGCGAACTATACCTGTCCTTGTATGGACAAAGATATAGACAAGGATAGCACGCTACATTGCACGCACACATACGCACGATGCACACCGACATTATACTTTTATATTACGCTTCCAAATCTTGATTTGGAGGGTTTATCGATGTTTTTCTTGTTGTGCAATTCGGGGGAACTTGTTTTCGCGTTCGTACCAATTGTATATCTCTTATATGAAATACATCTTGTGACGAGCTGACAGCTCGCCGCAACTCGAGACGCCATATTGGGATAAGAGTAGGATTAGGAAATCTGTACTTCCGTAATTTTTTCTCGTTTTCTATATAAAATCGGAGTTTCCCCGAATCATTAATGTATGTACTGCAATTCTGGAGAAGGATTTTTAATTCTGTCAAATTAATACGACGCTACGTGCCGACAAAAAATGCCGGTAAAACAGACGGCTCCAGCATCCCCTTAAGGGGATGTTGGAGACGTAGCCAAACTCGATCGACGTCGGTAAAGAAGACCGGCGAATTATATCTGTCCTTGTATAGACGAAGATATAGACAAGGATAGCACGCTACATTGCACGCACACATACGCACGATGCACGTCGACATTATACTTTTATATTACGCTTCCAAATCTTGATTTGGAGGGTTTAAAGATGTTTTTCTTGTTGTGCAATTCGGGAAAACTTGTTTTCGCGTTCGTACCAATGGTATATCTCTTATATGAAATACATCTTGTGACGAGCTAACAGCTCGCCGCAACTCGAGACGCCATATTGGGATAAAAGTAGGATAAGGAAATCTGTACTTCCGTAATTTTTTCTCATTTTCTATATAAAATTAGAGTTTCCCCGAATCATTAATGTATGTACTGCAATTTTGGAGAAGGATTTTTAATTCTGTCAAATTAATACGACGCTACGTGCCGACAAAAAATGCCGGTAAAACAGACGGCTCCAGCATCCCTTTAAGGTGCGATTTCATTGATGTTAGAAACCAACGGCAGCGTCAAGAAAATATAGTGGGGGAATAAATTCAGACCGTTTCAACTTTTTAGCGTACATACCGCAAAATTCAATAGAACTTCATCCCCCACTATATTTTCTTAATAACGCTGCCACTAGTTTCTAGCGTCAATGAAATTGCACCTTAACAAACGTGCGTGATCCATACTGTGTTTATATGTGTTTTGACTCTAAATTTGTCCAAACAATTCCCAAATAAAAAAAAATATATAAAATATTTAATTTGCGTGTCTGTTGAATATACGAAATAGTATACATACAAACGTACGCAAGTGAACGAGTTTGATTAAAATTACTAGATATCTATCTATAGTGACTTTAGATTTCACTTGAATAAAATCGCGGATAATCAGACACTAATAGTGTTTTTCATTGGCAGAACTGGTGCGCACTCAGTGCGCATTAAGGCAGTTGTACACTGATTTAATCTCTAATATTTAAAGTAAAATGCAAATATTTCGACTGATAAAATACCCAGTACATATTTTACCAAATAAAGCAATAAAAAATATTGAGGATTTCATGATTTAACCCGTTTATATTAAACATACACATTACGTTGATTTGTGTACAACGGCTTTAATGTGCACTGAGTGCGCACCAGTTCTGCCAAAGAAAAACGCTATAAACATTGTACATATGTAGTACATATTTTACATTCCGCACGTATCTACTGTGATCTGCTGGTATTTGGCATTTGCTGCAGGTGCATTTGAATTGAGATAAATATAAATTTGACCGTTGGAGACAGAGAGAGAGAAAGCGTAGATACTGAGTGCAAAAAGTGCAAGCAATGCGAACAGACCTAACAGACCACGTGATTGTCTGGGGCGAAGCTTGTGTGACCGTGTGACCGTCGTGTTACAGTTGAATTCTGTGACTGATGAGACGAGATGTGTTCGTTGATACTTTTATCAATTAATTTGATATCGAAGACTACGGAAAAAAAAAGACGAGAAAGAAGGACGAGAAGAAGGAAGAACGACATCGCAGTAAACAAGAGCGAGGACAATATATTCGACTACCATTAACCGTAATTTATCTGCAATTTACAAGTTTTATGTGATTGTGATTTGCCTGCTGTGATCCCCCCTTCCCCGTATTCTGTGTTAATTTCGATATGTGCTTCGTATTACCGTAATCTTATTAACGTATAAAAGATAAGATTGAAAATTGTCGTAACAATTACAATATTCTATCGTAATTAAGTCATACGCCGCG